CCTCTTCTGTGTTCTGAGGGGCTTTCAATGACTTGCCTGATTTTTGTTCTGCTGCCATTATATTTATAGATGTTAATAAAAGCACAATGAGATCCTTCTCTGCAGCTGGGCTCAGATCTCACTTTCACACAGGCCGTTACTGGAAGACGTCTTTGGTGTTTGAGGGGTTATCTCCTTCACAGTGTTCGGCCTCCTCTCAGGTTCACTTTGAAAAGTAAAGAAATGTTTTTCTCTATTCCTGGAGGAGCGGTCCCGTTTCAGAGACATTAATGGGCGCTTATAGTTGGTGCTGCTGGCAGCAGAATTTAGGTGGGCTCTTCGAAGCCTCTCTTTGTTGACATGTTCCAGGGTAAGACGACAACGAAGGACTTGCAGAAAGACGTCTCTGAACTGCCTTGAAGAGATGTTGTATAAGAGGGGGTTCACCACTGAGCTGAGGTAGAAGAAGGTGTCAGCAATTGGAAGCAATGTCATGTAGATACGGAAGTACCAGATGGACCATTCCTGCTTTGGTTTGCTTGCAGCCATGATACGAAGGGCTTGGTTGGGCATCCAGCATACCGCAAGGGTCAGTACAATAAGACCTGTTAAGATGGAGACAAAAGACGTCATGAGTCCGGAACACAACATCTCTGGAACTATTTTTATCACACACCTTATAGATATTATTCACCAAAGTGACAATGAATGATCATAGGCTGTGACAATGCAGTCAGGAGGTTCTGTACAATGTCACCTTGGCCGTGGCATTATATAAACAGGCCGCCGCCGCCGCCGCCATGGCCGAGACCATCACATAAAGCTAAGTTGTAGATAGAATAGATTCCTAGAATTATGTTTATTGATCTGATCGCTCTGCTGGTTCCTTCATTGCATGAGGCTCAGCAGACATTTTATTCTCGTATCCATACAAGTAAATCTTACTATTGATCATTTCTCAGATCAGCCCCGGAGCACGCCCGACTGTCAGACAAAATTATAACACACAATGTTCTTAAAGAGAACCTGTCAGCCATTTTAAACATATCATACCAACATTCCTGTCTGAGGTGAGATACTTTCTATCAATCATATGAGTCAGGAAAGTTTTTTCTCTGCAATTCTTTTAGATTTATTTTTTAATTATTGGGCCTTGACTTCAGGCTTCAGCCCGGTCCAGTGTCCATTCATGAGCCTTTTATTGAACATGACGGAGGCAGCTGGGCGTGGCTTAGCCCATAAGTCAGAGAAGTCAAGCCCACAGTAACGGGGTCACCGCCCCCAAACTAGACATGTGCGATACGTTTTGTTACGAATCGAAATTCGTACAGATTTTCCTGAAATTCGTAGATTCGGAGCATCCGAAATCCGAATTGCAGTTTCCGAATTATATCTGAAATACGAAATTACGTTAACGAATTTCGGATCCGAATTTCTTTGAAACGGGAACTAATATTACTCCTGTAAATGAGGTTGAACAGCAAAACAAGATTTTTTTTTTAATCCGAAATACGGATCCGCTGCTGCTGAGAGTCGCATTACAATACACAGGCAGGAAATACGAAATTCCGTTACGAACATTCGTTATATTGAAGGTAAAAAGCAAAGTACATTTATATTGGAGTCGATGGTAGTTTTTTTTAAAATCCGAAATCCGTATTTCGGATAAAAAAACAACTACCAATTCTGTATTTCCTGCCTGTATTGTAATGCGACTCTCAGCAGCAGAAGAGAAAACCTCTGATTGTTCAACCAAAACGAAATACGAATTCCGTTAACGTATTTCGGATTCGAATTTCGGATAAAAAAAAAACTCATCAACTCCAATATTAACAAAGGTATTTTTGCTTTTTGACTTCATCATAATGAATGTTCATAAGTTACGAAAATGTGCCGAAACTAACGAAAATTCGTATTTCGTACCAATTCAAATTGAGTTTCGGATACGAATTATGAAATAACGGATATTCTA